AAAAGCTATACTAGAGAATAAGAAGTTTATAGCCTATATAGATAGTAGAGTAGTAAGAATATATATTTTCGCTAGCTTAGTAAAACTACAGAATATACTATTTTAAGAGAAATAATAGCTATACTAAGTACGACTTATAGACAACTAGCTACCTACCTTTAGCTAAGAATAGATTTGCTTAGAAACTAAGGCACAAGTATTAGATGTCTAGAGAATACAGAAATAATAATTCTATAACATTATAGAACTAGAAAGTATAGATACACTTCTAGAACTAGACTAGTTATAATAATATAACTCTAATATTAGTTAGATTAGGTTAAAACTCTAAGAAAGGTCTAAAGTAGTATAAAAGGCTAGAGTAAGATACTACCTAAGAGCTTATCGAAAGCTAGAGGTAAAGATTAGAAGAATATCTCTCGCAAGTTTAATAAAACAGGTAAAGAGGTAATCTTAAGACGTTAGCGTTGTATAGATACAGAAGCTGCAACCTAATATAAAGCAACTACCTTAGAAGGTTAATAAGAACTATAAGAAGTTCGCGTTATTATTTAATAGACAGAATAATAGCGTTCTACCTAAACATAAACTATAGAACTATAAGATACCTATAGAAGATAAAGCTACGCTAAAACTAGAGCTAATATACCTACTTAGCTATAAGTAAAGAGAGAAACTCTAGAAATATCTAAAGAGACTCCTATATAAGAAATATATTTAAGAAAGCTAAAGCCTAATAGCCTTACTAGTACTATTCGTGCTAAAAAAGAATAAATAGTTAAGGTTATGTATTAACTACTAATAGCTTAACTAAGTAACTTAAAAGAACTAATATCTATTACCTATAATCTTAAAACTTATAGACTAGCTTATAGGAGTATAATAGTTTACGAAGTTTAACATCTAAGAAGAATACTACTAAATATAGATTAAGAAAGGCTACGAATAGAAAATAGCCTTTAGAATAAGAGAAGGTCTGTATAAATACCTAGTTATACTATTTAGACTTACTAACGCACTAGTAATATTCTAAAGTATAATTAACGCAGCTCTATATAAATACCTAGAAAGATTCGCTATAGCCTACCTAGACGACGTACTCGTATACTTAAAGAGAAAACTAGAAGAACATAAGAACTACGTGCAAAAAACGCTATAGAAGCTTAGAGAGTATAGACTTCTAATAGCTTCTAACAAGAGTAAGTTCTACTATACGGAAACTAGCTACTTAGAATTTTGTCTAACCTAAGAGGGAATCTAGATAGAAATAAACAAAGTCTAGGTAGTTCTAGACTAGCCTACGCTCTAGATAGTAAAAGAAGTATAATTCTTCTTAGAATTTGCGAACTACTACTAAAAGTTTATCTAGAGGTATTTACAGATTACTACTCTACTTACAGAAATTACTAAAAAGAACTAAGAGTTTAAGTAGGAAGACCTATAATAATAAGCGTTTAAGACGCTAAAATAAACGTTTACTACTGTACTACTACTACAAACGTTTAATAAAGATAGACTAATATAGGTTAAGACAAATACGTTAGACTAAGCTCTAGAGGTATACCTTAGTTAACTAGAAGAAGATAGCAAATACTAGCCATGCTTCTTCTACTTAAGAAAGTTCTTAGCACTAGAACTTAACTACGATGTATATAATAAGAAGCTTATAGCTATCGTAGTAGTTATAAAAGAATAGAGAATATACTTAGAAGACGCTAAATATCTTATTAACGTAATATTAGACTACAAGAACCTTATAGCGTTTATAACAACGAAAACGCTAAATAGACAACAAGTTAGGTAGGTAGAAACGTTAGCTATACTAGACTTTACAATCTAATACTAGAAAGGCACTAAAAATAGAGCTGTAGATACGCTTAGTTGTAGAACTAACTACGTAGGCACTACTAAAGAAGAGCACGAAGCTGTACTCTATACTAGACTAGATAGAACTCTAGAATATAACAAACTACAAATTAAACAGGTTACGAAAATTAGAAACTAATAGAATAACAAATTAGAACTACCTAATAAACAAGAATAATAGAAAGTACTAGAAACGCTATAGATAGAATTTCTCTAGGAATTCTATAGTATAATAACGCATAGATACTAAGAAATTAAACATACTCTTAAGAGGCTATAATAAGAATATAGATTTTTCGTAATAAAGAAAAAGGTTATAAAAGTAATATAAGATTATATAAAATACTAATAAAATAAAGTAGTTAGGTACTAACTATATAAATTACTATAACTACTAAAACTACCTATAGTACTATAGTAACACGTTACTATAGACTTTATTATAAAGCTGTCTAGATTAATTAAACCTGCGTTATAAAGGAAGTATAATACTATCTTAGTAATTATAGACTAATTTACTAAGTACGCTTACTTCTACGTAACTAGCAAAACTCTTAAAGCTAAAGAACTAGCTTATAAGGTAAGCTAATAGTTGTTTAGCTAGTATAGAATACTAGAAAAAGTTACTATAGATAGAGATAAGTTATTTACATCTAAGTTCTAGAATATACTACTTAGCTAAATAGAAATAAGTAACTAAATATTAACTAGCTTCTATCTACAAACTAATAGCTAGACAGAATAAATAAACTAAACCTTAGAAGAATACCTAAGAAACTACGTTAACTAGAAATAAGATAACTAGGTTAAGTTACTACTTATAGCATAACTAGTATATAACATAGTAAAATAAAAAACTATAGAAATAACCCTCTATTAAGCATGTTATAGCTATAAGGCTAGAATATATAAATTCGCAACATATATAGCTATAATCTTTCTAAAGGTAAAGAAAAAGAAACGCTAAATAAGAATAATCTATAATAAACTATAAAAGGTAGTAGAAAAAATAACTAAATAAGTAAACAAAAAAAGAGTTAAGAGACTAACCTTTAAGAAAGAGGGTAAAGTTTTTATTTTACAAAAAAACTTGCGCACTAAATAACCTAGTAAAAAACTTAACTACCTATAAGTAGAACTATTTAAGATTAACAAGTAACTTAAACTTATTAACTTTAGACTAAGACTACTACTAATAATGCGAATACACTCTATATTCTATAAATCTAAACTTAAGCTAGTACCTAATAATACGCTACTTAATAAATAAACTAAGGTAGAACTAGATAAGAACTTTAAGGTTAAAAGAATACTAGATAAGAAGCGTATACAAGGTTAGTAGAAGTACTAAGTTAGGTAGAAGAGATACCTACTAGAAGAAGACACCTAGAAACTACTAGAAAACCTTAAGAACTACTCTAAAAAACTTAAGAAGTTTTATTAGCGCTACTAACTCTAAAATCTAGAGACTAGAACTCTAGGTTCTCTAGACGACTCTAGTTAAATAACTAAAGAGAATTAACTAAGAGAATAGAAGGTTATAGCTATAAGAGTTACTATACCTTCTACTTTAGCTACTCTAACTTCTTAATATTAGCTAGATTCTTTAAAAGCAGCGTGTCGCAGCAACGCTGTACTAGATCTAACTACTTCTAAAGGCGATTGCTACGCGCCTTAGTAGACTACTATAATTTAGCAAGACGCTCCGCCTTAAGACTAGCCTTAGACTACTAGAAACGTAGGTTAGCTAGTAGGTAATCTAGCTTCTCTACCTCTTTTAGATCTAATACCTTATTATAGAACTAACCTTTTATAATATACTCTAAGTAATAACTAGAGAATATCTCTATAACGTAACGTAAGTTACAGGAATAGTAAGTACTATAAGAGTTATTAGGCATATTAACGCTAGTGCGCAGAACAAGGTTAGCATAACAATAGCGGTAAACTATTAAGAACTTAGCACGAGCAGGTAGCATAGTAGAAATAGAAAGAGAAGAGAGAATATAATACTATAGAACTATAGATAGCACTACTCTTATATAAGAATAGCATAGAATAATAAAACACTACACCTAGAAATAGAATAGAGCTTTAGAACGACGCTTTAGAAGAGAGAGTAGGTGTTACAATTACAGGATTAAGAATAGAGTTAGCTAGCTAGAATAGAGAAAAAATAGTAAGCTAAGCCTAGAGTTACAAGACAAGAGATTACGTGCGAAGTTATAAGATAATTAGAGTTACGTAATATAAATTAGAGAGATTAGACGAAGCTAGGTAAATTAGGTCTAATCTACGAGAGCTAGAGTCTTAGCACCTAATCTAGCTAAGATAGCGCATGTATATAACTAGAAGAAGCTTGCTTCTTATAGCTTCTTATAGTTATTACTTTCTTTATTAAAATTACTATAGAGACTTGCGATTTACAGTATTATTACCTCTACCTCTTTGTTACTAAAGATTCTAGCCTAAAGTACACCTCTTGTCTTCTCTTATAAAAGTAAGCCTTAGTCTTAGTTAAGAGAACAGCTTGTAACATATAGTACGTTATAGAGAGCTATAGCGCGTTATAAGCTTAGCTCTAAGTTTTACTAAATAGTCTAAAGCGTAAGCTATATCTAGAATTTATTTAAAGTTAATTAGGCGTTTATAGAGGGCTTTATAATTAAGATAGTAGTATTTAGTAAGAGCTTAGTATTTTTAGAGCGTTTAGTAGTATAGAGTATTTGCTAGTAAAGTATGTTATACTAAAATTTTATTTATTTATCTATTATAGTTTTTATTTTAGAAGAGGTAAGAGACACTAAAAAGTAGGCGTTAGATAAGCCCAAGCGTTCGATAACTAATTACGGTATTTGGTATGCGGCGAATTTTGCTAGCCGCGTGCCAGCCCCTTCGCTCCCTCTCTTAGCTAACTCGTTCACCAAAGTCGCACTCCCTTAAGTGCTCAACTATTAAAGCCTTCCCGAACACAATGGACTATAACGCGTTGATCGATCTCGGCTACGAAGTACAAGGCCAACTTTAGGTCGACAAGGTGAACGAGACATACGGAAAGGGCTTTCTCTGTTAATGGGTATCGACCTTCCATCCTGACCAACTTCCCTGCCGACTCGAGGGTACCTTTTACTATGGTGCGTTTAATGCCGGCATGAAGATAACCTTCCCCGATGGCACCGCCTGGATGGTCCGTTTCCCTCGTGTGGGAAAAGTTCACGATGGCTATGCTGACGAGAAGGTTGCCATAGAGGTGAAGGCGTTAAGTCTTATCCGCGAGGGGACCACTATTCCCGTCCCTAAAGTCCATGCGTGGGGTCCCGCTGCTGGCAACCCACTTGGCCTGGGTCCCTTCATCATCATGGACTTCGTCGACGGCGTAAGCCTTAACGACCTTCTTAAGGACCCTAATGCCGAGCGCCCTACACGACTCATGAGAGAGGACATCGACGATGGCTATATCGAATTCATCTACAGGCAGTTTGCGAATTTTCTGCTCCAGCTTTTCAAACTCGACTTTGACAGGATCGGCAGCCTGCCGTCGCCAAGAGCTGAGGCTGAATGCCCCTTGCCGATACGGCCGCTGACATTCAAGGCGCATAGCATCCTACAGAGCGGAGGAGTCGACACTTTTGGTACGTCTTGTCGCTTTCCTTTCACTTCTTATTTCTGTGCAATTCCCTTATTAGGGTTCTAACTAAGCACGTTAACTGAGCAATCTCTATATAGGTGACCGACACCAGGGCTTCGCGACCACGACCGAGTACTTCCAGTACGTCGCTGGGCAGGACTTGGAGCAACTCATCCACCAGCCAAACTCGATTGATAGTCCATATGATGCCAAAAACAAATTCAAGGCGTTCAAGGCCGTGAAATCCCTAATACCAGACTTCATCAACGCAAAGTACGACCATGGGAAGTTCAAGCTAATTTGCGACGACCTTGGTTTGGCGAACCTGATTGTAAGAAGCAAGGAAAACCTCACTGTCGTTGGGGTGGTGGACCTCGAGTGGTCATACATCGGGCCCGCCCAGCTGTTTGGCTCGGCGCCGTGGTGGCTTCTCCAGGATAGACCTGTCAACAGCGCGTGGGACTGTAAGGACGATGAGCCGCCTAAGATTGCCGCCCAGTACTTCAGGTACTTAGAGACTTTCAAACGTGTCCTGGAGGAAGAGGAGGCCAAAATGCTAGGGCACGAAGAGAAAGAGCTCTCTAGTCTCGTCAAGTGGTCGCAGGACTCGGGGGCCATGTGGCTGCACATGCTCCTCTTAGTTGGCTTCAACGACCAGCACAGCTTCCCCTTTACACAGCTACGTCAACACTTGGGTCCTGCGGAGTGGAAGAGGCGTGAGAAGGAATTTGACAACGCAGAAGAGCTCGACGCGTTCGCGGCACGGAAGGTGCGCGAGTTGAAGCAGTACGATGATGCCTTGGAGAAGGCAGAAGAGGTCAGAGCCTTCGTGGACAGCGGGAAAATGACGAAGGAGGAGTTCATTGCCACACTTAGATAGAGCTCGGCTGTCTACCTGTTCCTCGTTTGTAGTCAACGATTAGATCATGATACGGCGCGTTCGTGTAAATGAATGAATAATATCTTAAAGCCGCTAGCGTGTGATTCCTCCAAGGCCTCCTCCCATATATGTTGTATATGTTCGTCAGGTAGCGCGCACCGGAGGCTACATTAGATAGTGAAGTAATCAAAGTACATTGAGGTAGGAACATCTATACATAACCGTACCGTCATCCGCCGTGGGGGAAGGTTTTAGTGGGTTGCTCTACGACCGTCCATCTTCACCAGTATGGCACGAACTGACGGTTCAACCGGCTCGAGAGGTTTTCCAGTCTTTTCCGGGCCTATAACAAGGTCTTCTCCTCCACACTGCATTCTAGTCAGAAATACATAACTTGGTTGTTCACTCGCCATACCAACTCCTTGGCCTTCTTCTCCAACTCCTCATCGCTCATATTACCGACCGCGGTTGTGCCGTCTCCAGCCATATTGGTATATGCGCGCGCTTGCGGAATGAGGGTCTTGTGGAAGAGAGAAGGTGACCTGGTGACGGTAATAATTAGCTCAATGCCCATTGTATTAAGGTGGTACCAGGTGGCGTAGTTGCGTACGAAGTAGCTAGTCTCCAGGGCCAACTTTCTAGTGAGGGAATGAAATAGGCAGGTAAAGAAGGCTACATTCGCGCGGAGACATGTCAGCATACTCGTCGAAGGACTGGACAAGTCGGTTGATATTTACCTGGATGATTCGAAAGCTCGCCGTTTCGTCGGTCTGAGACTGAAGTTAACTGTGTCGCAACCGTTCACTATGGCGGAAGGAGAGACTGGCACGCGGACGTGTCGTGAAGTTGATAAAGCGCATGGCTCAGGCGCTGGTGCCCAACGGCAAGATCATATGAAATAAATCTCGGGCGGCTATTCCTCGGAGCTGCTGCCTGCCCCACCATCGAACATTTCTAGTGTCACGTGCACGAACAACGACCACCCTGTCACGCAATTAAACGGGTAAGGCGTCCGCTATGACGCACATCTCCTAAGCCTATGAAATTGGAGTCGCTGCATGGCCTTCTCGCTACCTGCATAGTCCTAGGTTTTTGAACGATGCTTGGAAGGGATATAATAGTCGTGGCATGTTCTTATTTGTGTGGCAGATTGGTAGGTCACAACGACCGATTTATATGGGCTAAGATTATTACCTTCTTGCTCTGTACGCGCGCATTAATTCTGCAATCGTATGGCACCGAAAAGCACTATTAGAGAGACTAAACTCGTATTGCGCATCCGTTCTATCGAGCCACGTAGTAGCGGTTAGGACGTAATGTTGCCTGCCATTCAGGTCCACCGAGGGCCGGAACCCAGCGACGCAATTCCGGTTCCCGTTTCGCGTCGCCTGTAAGAGTCTCCTCATGACAGGTCAACCGTGTCTTGCAGAGTGGGCCACCTCCATCGCCGACTCGCTGCCTCAGCGGCCGCCTGAGCGAAAGCCCAACGCCTTCCCGCGAGCTGCCACGTCTTCCGCAAACACCGCAAACCTCTCCCCGTCCCTCTCCCCGTCCCTCTCCCCGCCACTCATAATACCATGGCGGCAGCTTTCTGGAGATGGCTGGAAAAGAACGTGGACCGGGCGGAGCTGGCGGTACGGTGTCGTGCACTTTGCCTTTCCGCCGAAGGAAATATTGAAGGCGGGAGGCGATATACTCACCACCATTGTCTGATTTAAGACGCTTGATGGCAGAACCAGTGAATCGCTGAATTGGCTGATTGTGCTGACCCATTCGACGGGGCGTCGGCCTCCCGCGGCAGGAGCTTGACCTAGGCGTGTTGGGTGGAGCCGTCGATAAACGAAATATAGTATCGCGATCCGCCAAGGCTCTGGCGGGAAAACTTGCTCGATAGGTCGCTGTGGATGACCTCGAAGGGCTTGGTGTGTCAGACTGTCCGCCGTGTCGGCCACCAGTCGGCGGTAGGTTGTCGGCCGGTCGCTCGGAGATCAGCTCCGCGTCCTTGTCAATTGTTTGATGTCCCATCGCGCAGTGAAACTCGATGTATGACGTGAAACCGCCAGCGAAGGCGATCGCATGTTCTTTCCTGCTCAGTTGGATAGGCAGAGGTAACACGTATTCCGCGGCTGGTCTGTCTGCTGTATAACACCATCGGTATGCTTCCCCCATATGACGTATCGAGCGTTCTGCGAGAGGTAGAGGAATGCGTAGAGGTCGAAGCGTTTGCGGACGTAGGCGCACGAGAAGAGCCGAGTGTCGTATGGCTCAGTACTAAATGTTTGTTAGTTCTGCGACGCGGGCAGACCCGTCGGGTAGCCTGCAGCGTAACCGGACAATTCCTACGCAACGTACCGGCAGCTATAATGAGACAGTGCCAACCTCAACGGGCGAGCAGAGCGGCGCAGGATCCATGCGGATATGGCTCGGCGATAGTCGTTGTTGTTGCATCAGTAACAAACGCTGATAGAGCTCGTACTGGAGTTTCCTTAGCGGCCGGAGCTTTGACCTTACTGCCAAGCCCCCCCTTAGCTGCTGCGCGCCCCTTTCCCCCGACCACGAGTGCTTCTTCACCAGCGCGCCTCCTGTTTCGTGCTCGGATGATGCGTATAACAGCATGCCTCGAGACAAATCTACTCTGCTAATCAGTCTCCAGCATCGAACTCCCCACGCTCGCTTTCATCCCTCCGCTCCTCAGTGTCCGACTCGCCTCTCGAACCCACACCATGGAGAGTGACGGAATCCTTCGATATCCTCCTGGCTTTCGCTGGGCCAACATCCTGGCATCCGGCATTTCAGGTCTAATACTTCTCGACGAGGCCTCGCAAACCGTTGTTAAGTACTCCCTTGATTGGGCTAAAGACAATATCGACGTGGAACGGCGCATTTACGAACGCTTCAAGGAACATGGCGGACACAAGAACATCGTGCGATACCTCGGTCCCTATGACATTGGTATTCGCCTTGAGTATATTCGCATCTTCGATTTCAAGGGTTATATTCGCACGAACAAAGTCGACTACGAGCAGAAGATCCAATGGGCGGAACAAATCATCAGCGCGCTCTGTTTCGTGCATGCAAGGGGGGTGGTCCATGGTAACCTAAACCTATTCAATATCCTGCTAGATGAAAACCTCAATGCGAAAGTTGCGGACTTTGCCGGCTCCTCTCTAGATAGATCTCCACTGCTTGTCGTGGTCACAGAGAGCTATAGGAGACCCGGAGATACTTGTTGCATTAAGGCTGATATTTTCGCATTTGGTTCTACGGTATACAACATCGTAACAGGCCAGAGCCCGTATCATGATCTTTCTGATTGCGAGATCGACAGGCGCTTCGAGCGTGGGGAATTTCCGGAAACAGATTCCCTCGGGCCGCTCGGGAAGATCATTTCCAAGTGCTGGCGCGACGAGTACCCAGACGCAACGAGTATTCATAAGGAAATTAAAGGTATGTAACAATCCTCAACCTAAAACCAGCGCTTCTCACACTAATGAGCTATTTCCGCGCGTCGCTTCGCCATATCCTCCTTAATAACTCCAGTCCAGCTCTCAGTCGTGTTTGCGTTCGTTGGCGTAGCTATCGTACTTGGCGGAGGGTCAATTTGGCGTATGGTGGGCCGGGGGTAGACATACTGATTTCAACATCAAGAAAGGCACTTTGGGCAAGCTTGACTGTATATTCGACGAAGGTGCACATTGCTGATAGATAGAGAAGCAAGAAGGATCGTCAAGTATGTGAGGCGGTTTTGGGGACTTCGGTGACGAGATTCATGGGACGGGTGGTCGGCTACTTATCTATGGCCCAAGCCAGGCAACAACACTACCCCGCCTCCGTGACTCTATCCTAATCGCCTCGATCGACTGCATGGAAGAGCTGCATGGGTGAGGCGTCACTTGGCAACATCTTACTGAATCTGTGCGATGGAAGCCCGTTCGTAGATACGACGATGGTCGTAGAATAAACGGCAATGATCCATGAAGATCAATAGTCATAACTTTAGAAAAGATTCGAGGGTGGAATGGGGCGGCTTTGAGGAAAATGTTTATTACAGGTGTAAAGCTTTAGTCCACGGACTGCCAAGCCATTGTCTGACTAAGCGACTGCCGCTCTGAAAAGTCTCTTTGTGCCTCGGCGGCGCCTCCAACCCTCCGACCCTCTAGTCATTCCGACCAACCAACACAACATCTGACAACGAAGCGAGACTGCCATGCCATTAGGGCTCTCGCTCAGGACCATCAGCAGGAGGTGTTGGAAAAGCAGTGAACGTTCCGTGTCGGCTCAGTCCTCGCGAGCCCTCTCCATTACTTGTCGGGGTAGTACTTGCGCAGCTCCATTTTCGCCCAAAAACTGAATCGCAACAGGGAAACCCATCAGTCGCGAAGAATTATTCAAGTACACGAACGGGCGTTTCCTAGTCGATGAAAACAACGCCTGTCATCGCAGATATGTGAAGTTTGACGTCGACCAACTGTGCGCAGTAGCCGCATCTACCGGCGGGCAACACTCGCCTGTCCAGGCGATCGAGAAGATGGAGGGAGGATTTAGCAAGGCACTCCTCTTGCGAAGGGAGGATGGAAGCGAAATTATTGCCAAAATTCCGTTCTCCATTGCCGGGCCGCCAAAGTACACAACCGCCTCTGAAGTGGCTGTTCTCCAATATCGTAAGATCGCCAAATCTATGAAAATGCCATTGTACCCATGACTAATTATATCGCTGGTGGCAGTACATACGCATACTCAAGTCCCAGTTCCCAAGGTGTTGGCCTGGAGTTCCAATCCGTCAAATCCTGTTGGCGCCGAATATATCATAATGGAAAAGGCTTCTGGGATACAACTATTCAAGAAATGGGGAGAAATGACTGAATACGATCAGTTCTGCCTCGTCAAGCAATTGACGAAGCTAGAGGGCGAATTGGCAGCGATCCGCTTTCCCGCCAGCGGGAGTTTCTATCTCTGCGAGTCCATGTCAGAAGATGATACATATGTCGCTTTGGGGCGTGAAGCGGATCCTTCTGGGCAGTTCTGCATAGGGCCGTCATGCGAACGAGGGTGGTATGCTCAGGACAAGACAGCATCTTCGCATTCTCGATTCAATCGAGGACCATGTGAGCCGGATATGCGAATATGATCTTCTTAGCTGACTCTATTCAACAGGGCCAAGTCTATCTTCTTTCGGGATTGCGCTTGTAGAACGCGAGACTGCGCGCATTGAACAAAATCCAACGACCGCTACGTCTGATCCACCACGTGGATCCTTCGATGAACAGATCGCCGTCCTAAAAATGGCCAAAGCTGTTATGTCTAGACTAGACTCGGACACACTCATCGATAGGGCGTCCCAGCCAGTCTTGTGGCACACCGACCTCCACATGGGCAATATTTACGTCTCTAACGAAGATTCTACAAAGATTGTCTCGCTTATCGATTGGCAGTCGATTGTAGTCTCACCTTTGTTCTTACAAGCCCGCTTCCCAGAGTTCTTGCCGGTTGACGAAGATTACGCCTTCGGCTCAGAGATCCCTAAGCTACCGCCAAATTATGACCAGATGGACGCAGATGATAAGGAAATCGCTGGCTTTAAGCTACAGGAAGCTAAGTTAGCTAAGGCATATGAATTATCCAGTGGGTCCCAGAACAAGCAGGCGTACAAAGCCTTGTTTATACCATCATTCCTACGGGAGCTCTTCGTTCGATGTGGAGAGGTATCAGAAGAGGGTGTAATACCGCTTCGGGCCTGTCTTATCCAGCTCTCCAAGGCGTGGAATGATGTAGGGTTCACTGGTAAATGCCCGTTCAGTTTCAGCGAGGACGACATACAAAAGCACGACCAACAGTTTGAGGAATATCGCAACTTTCATAGAGTCCAAGAAATCGCCAGAACGCTCCTCGACACTGATTCCGAGGGTTGGGTTGCCCCTCAGCTTGATTTCGCGATGAAACAGCAGCAGAACGAGGAGTTGCTTCAACTCATCATGTCCAGAAGCAATGAGTACAACAAGTCACCAGAAGGAGTGCAGAGAATTTGGCCATTTTTGAAAAGTTCATAGACCCAAAACCAGTCGCATTGAATCACGTGTAGACGTTTTCTGCATCACTGTTAATGAGTTGCTTGATTCACCTGGAGTTTTTATCCGCCATACAGGCCAGAGTGGCAAGGCGTTGCCTTGCAGAAAGTGGCCTCGTTGTGTACCGCGTCGGATTTGGTGGGTTCAATATGAAATAGACCAAAGAGTGAGGTTCGACATCCGCTAGAATCTATGCCACCGCATAGCGTGATTGCTGAAGTGGCTACTCATTATCAAGCCACGGTGGTGGGGATACTTGCCCACTACGGAAAGTCTTCCCAAGCTCATTCGAATATTTGCACATCTTGTTTAAAAACGAAAATGAGTCCCGTTCAGCAGAATTGGAGAGAACTTCTTCGAGAGGTTGGTATATGTCAATTCTGAAACACTATAGCTTGATTTCATACCCCAATTGCGTCGACTTAGCAAACCCTACCACCCTTTCCCCGAGGAAGCAAGCTAAACACTCAAATCGCACCAAGGCTAGGTCAACCCAGGGAATATCTCTTGATGGAACCACTACAGGAATCTGTCAGAGCAGTTCATGCCTCCGGAGCAATTTCACGCACCTCTCAACCGATCTTCGATCGGTACTGCTTGGTCATTTCTTCTAAGGCTTCCTCAACCTCTTGCTGCTGCTTATTTTCGGGAGTATCCACCTTGATTTCAGCGGTGGCGATGTTCGCGTGGGTACCATGCTTGCTTCTGAACTTCTTGAGTGCTGTGTTCTTGGCCTCACTGTTGACTTGGAGGTAGATGTTCTTGTGACCGTCTGCTACCTCGCCAGCATCGACGCGAAGTTGGTGCTGTGCGTTCTCGACTTTGTTGTTGTTTGGAACAATGCGTTGACCTGGATTCTGGTTGTTGAAAAACTTCTTATAGAGCTTTTCGTTGATGATATGCTTTTTAAAGTCCTTGAAAACTTTAGACATTGGAACAAGGGCAATGTACTTGCAGAGAAGAGTCGAACGAAAGAGAATAAGGCGATGCGTTCGAGAAATTGGTGTGCGTGTGACGAGATAATAGCATCGGACTACACGAATATTTATACACAATCTGGAGACAAGTAATTTGCAATACGGCACAGCAATTCTTCCTAATATGGACACGATCGATAGCCAAGTTGCTGTGCCGTATCTTCGCGCTGACATGCTAGGCGCCGGAGAGGCATAGCAGCTTCATCTTGAGTATTCACAGCCAATCTACTTCAATCGCGAGAGTTACCGCCGAGAACGCAAAGGTATTACTAATGTTGATTGGATAGAGGACGGTCCTCAGAGTTGGAATCGGGCCCTGAGCTGGAGAAATAGCTGGAGAACTGACCAATCGTGCAGGTAAATGAAGTTGAACTGTCACATAAGGCTTAGTCTGGCTTTTCTAGCGACACGCCTTCCTAATCTCTGGCGGAAGAATCGCTGGCCACCAATTACTGAATGAACAGAGACACTGCAGTCGCTAGAAATGTGGCGCTGACAACGTTCTGCTGATGATACCCCTGGCGGACCCATCGCTGGCGCCCTGAGATTCATGAACGCCAATGATGTGAATATCCTTATCCCTCCCTCGATCTGGACATTTGGAAGAATAACCCGCTCGCTCGCTTTCGCGGCAAGGCCACCTCCCACCTCCCACCTCCTCACCCCCGCCTTTCCTGCTGGTCCTCAGGATCTCGCATCCCTCCGTCACGGATCCTATGTCGCATCTATTCCCTATTCCACGACACTTCGAGCAACAACAACGGCCTCCTCGGGAGTCGGTCTACAGACGTCAAACTTTATGAAGCTAACTCCAACCGGGCTCTATAGCTCTGCAGTGTACGATACTAAGTGCGATAAATATGGGTTGCGAATGAAGAGCCAACTACAAACTGATCAATACGATATCAATTGTGGTTACTTGTTCTGCTGAGATGTAGCAAATATCTTCCTTTTCCAACAACTGCAGAATAAGCCACGTTCATGCTATGACGTAAATTGAAAGTTCTTCAATTCCCCTTCACCCAGCCACTCTCGTATTTCTTCCAAAGCATTAAGGTCATTGGCTGGTGAAGCAGTGTTGATATTTTCATCAAACCACTGGTATGTGCGTCCAACCTCTTCCAGACTGCAGCCAATAGGCCTGCAAGAATCGAAATCTGTGATTACAGGGTTGTCCTCATCAAACATAATGTTTTGAGGGGTCGATATCGTTGTGGACAAGGCCTAATTGATGAAGGTGTTGGATACCAGCCTTGATCTTCTGTAAAACACCGTCTTTGTCCTTCAAGCTGCCGGGAGTATATCTGAATATTCCTTTCCCTTTGTAATGCGGATTGACGCGCTGCATTAATGAGTCGGTTAGCTTGGCCCAGCAGAGTCCAGTGATGCGCCAATCGCGTGAGACCTCGCAGCCACGGTATTCGGCGATATTTGGATGCGGATTGCGCCGGAGTATCTCACAAACTTTCGCTTCGGACAAGACGGCTTTGGCCATGGCATTCGGCCTGCCTCGATCAATATACCGGTCAAAGACGGTGAGGTTAGGGCGCTTGATAAAGGTATTTTACAGGTAGAGAGTTTGGAGCTCTTCCCAGAGATCCGTCCGAAGGGAAGAGTGGTGCGTAAGCTTCTGGAGGAATCAAGACGCCGTGCTGTGGCAGGATGTTGACAAGCTGTTGAAAACCATTCGGTGGTGGCTTTTGGACTCCCTTGAGCAAGGCGTGGAACACAGAGTCACCAGATCGGTAGACGACGACCGTTCCAGTAAAGGGGAACTTTCCATCAACCTCATCGTAACGTTCGGTAACTTGCAGTATTTCCTTCCCAAAAGACAACGTTGTTTCATGACGCCCCGAACGTTCAGTAGTCTGGAGGATCCCGTTGGCTTCGATAACTTATTTCCGTTCTGGGGTGGAGGCTCGGGTTCGCCTGGAGCGAGGCGAAGGGCGGACGGATAGGCTACCAAGGGCCTAGGGAAAATCGATCGGCCGTATGAGTAATAAACGATATAATAAAAATGGGGTAGGCGCCGCAGGTACTGTACTGAGAGCTTGAAACGAAAGTTGGGCCGGTTGAGGTTGGGGCATAAAATTAGATGGCTGCTTCAACGAAGTCCTAGCATCCTTCGCCTTGGCTTAGGAAATATAGATTTTCCGCGCCGCTGGAGATGAGTCAGCGGAGTTGCCTTCTCGCGACGAGCAATGCGGGAGCTGCGAGCATCAAGTCTAGCAGGGACCGGGTCTTCCACGATTCATTCTTACGACGTGAGAGCAGACCGCTTGCTTTAGCAGAAGTTTCAAGCGTCTCTTAGTCTGTCCGTCGCCAGTCAGGCTGTTCTTTACCCCTACACCCTCTCGAGCTCCTCTCTGCATCGCTGCCCGCCAGCGCCGGCATCTTACGAACACACGCACCGTTTTGGACAGTGCTTCGATTGCATCCAAGGCCAGCTCAAGCTTTCTAAGTTCCGTTGGTTGCGCCTTACGTCTCTTTAATGGTAGCGACTAGACGAATAATCAGCTTTTGCAGCTTAGCTGAAGAATTGAACGTACCCTCTAATTTTATATCTCGAAGGGCTTCTTCTGCGGTCGCATAACTCTGCCTCCAACATCTCATAATCGTGTTCCTGAATGCAGGGACAGATTCTAGATTAGGATAGCGACCCTCAGAGAAAGCAGCAGATACTTCGTGATCAGGTAGATCCTTGTATGGCTTCGAGCCAGTTATTATCTCATAAACGGTAGAACCGAGGGCAAAGAGTTCGGTCCTCGTTGAGATATCTTCGCCAGGAAGTTCGTGACTGGTCTCATAACAGACGAGTGGTGGAAGGTCGTCAATAGCTGAGCCGGCGAAATCACCAAGCTTCACATCGAGATTGTCGTCGAGGAAAACATTATTGCACGATATGTCGCCATGGAGCACGCTCCTTGAATGGATAAACCGCACGGCATCGAAAAGTTGTTCAACCCAACGAAGCCTGAGAGAAAGTGGAACCTGTTTCTGCCTTGCAACGTATTGCCTAATAGATGTCTGGCTCGCAAACTGCAAGATAAGAGAATTTTCCAAGGCGCCAAAATATCGAACGATGCCGCTGTGGTCGCGACCAAGACGCTGATAGATGAGCTTCTCCCGTTCGAAGAAGCGCGATTCTAACGGCCCGAAGAACTTGACAACGGCATCAAGACGCGCGACAATCGCCGTAACGCCTGCGCCAGCCAGATCCTTGAGGTCTAAACCAAGTGGCCATTGTATGACAGACTCCTGCATCTTCCTCTGCGATGTCTCCTATGGAATCGGCTAGCGATTGATCGGAGAGATGATATAGCGCCTAGTACGATCGACTTGAAGAAGAGGAAATGAGGTCGGTCGGAGAGGTGTGAGGTCGGTACGAGAGGAGTGGTTAAAGGTGAGGCGTAGTAGGCGACGCCGGGAAGAGAATAATCGTCTTTCAAAGGAAAAGTTTTGCTTGGTGTCCTTGTTCTGTGAGCCAGTAATTAGCGAAGCCACGTGTCAAGAAGAGGAAGCACCTGACTTTATAGTGAAGCGCAGATAGCGGATGGAAATGGAGTTGTGTCGAGAGGTAATCGAGGAGCGAGCATAGGCGGGCCGAATGGCGCAGCGCGAGGGGTTTGGGGAAGCGACGCCGGCAATAATGCGGATACCGGCCCTAACGTAGAGGCTCGTCGCGTTGCCGGTTTTCGAGTAAGCGTATGCTGCTGTAGACGCGATCGACAGTGTTGTCAGTCGCTGACGGAGTTGGAGAGAGGTGGTGGATGGTTGAGGTGACGGCCCGGAAATATGGCTACGTGTCCACAATTAGGCGTACAGAGGGGGCCAATGCGGATGCTACATACGAGCCGCTCGCACTTCGTCGCGCGCGTTCCCAGAGTCGCAGACGGATGCAAAAGGATAGTACGCGTCGTAGGAGACTCTGCATCCGCTGTCACGGCTCTCCTGCAGATGCTCGGAATATATAAAAACCCGACTCCGGAATAGTAATCAGCGCGGCTGCTAAAGATAACCATCACGTGACTATTATGGAAGTTTCTGGAAGAATGCCACACATTAAGTTAATCGGGCTTCACGGGCGAAAGCCCCACACGGGCGAACCCCCCACGATTTCTTGGCAAGGAAAATCAACGAAAGTCAACTCGTTTTTCTTAAATAACTAAGCAAAACCTTAATATTTTTCTATAAAAATTTATATATATATTCTTTATAGAATATTACACCTTATGCTAAGGTTATACTAAGATATATTACGTAATTAAAAAGCTATACGTATTTAATAAACTTTTAAGAAAAAATCTACTTTACTTCTAGTAAGTAGTATTATATCTCTATAATAATAAATAAAACTTATAGTATATAGTATTTATAATATAGTAAAGATTTCTAGAAAATTTCTATAGAGCTAGCTCTTCTAGATATAGTATAATAAGAGATAGAAGTTTAAAAAAATTCTTTTAGAGTTTTGTTCTCTAACTATATATATATATTAATAATCTAGCTATATAAAGTTATATATTATAAGCTAATATATATTATAAGCCTACTATATATTTAGAAGTAATAATTTTAAGATAGTTTTAGTATCTTTTTCTCTTTCTATACTATACTACTAAAAAGACTTTACTTTTAAATAACTACTTAAAGCTACTATATTATTAGTTAATAAGCTCTAACG